CACTGATAGATGCTCGGAAACTCATTCCACCTGGCTCTGAACATAATGAAGAGCGGAGTCAGCTTAAGCGCAAGCTGACAAGAAGTCTACGCAATGATCGTCAACAGTGGTGGGTAGCGAAAGCAAGATAGATGGAAAAGGCAACGGCAATAGGTAATAGCAGACAATTGTTTAGACTCGTTAAGGAAACCGGTATCAGGAAACCGACTGTCAGCAAAACACTCTCAGAGAAAGATGGACATATTATACATTCTCAATCCAGGAGATTGGATCGATGGGCAGAACACTTCAGGGATCAGTTCAACTGACCTTCAGCCACACTTCGGTTTCCCACGATCTCCAGTCAACCTGAATGGCAAGTTAATGTAGGTCCTCCATCTCTTTGCGAATTTGAAAAAGCCACAGGGAATCTGAAACGAGGAAGAGCAGAAGGCCCTGACAGATTTACTCCTGAGATTTTTAAGGATGGTGGTCCAGTAATAGCAATGAGATTAACCGAGGTCTTAGGCAGAATTTGGGAACTGGACGTAATCCCATCTGACTGGTCTCAATCACTGATTGTGCCAGTTTATAAGAAAGGACAAAAGTCCTCTTGTGACAATCACAGAGGAATCACCTTGACTAATATAGTGTCTAAAATATTCGCTTCAATAATACTTCAACGCCTAACTAAAGCTCGTGAAGAGCAAACTAGAGAAAACCAGGCCGGTTTTCGACCTGGACGTGGTTGTATAGATCAGATATTCACACTACGTCAGGTTCTAGAACATAGACACACATTCAGACGCCCCACAATCGTTGTATTTCTTGACTTTAAGGCGGTATTCCACTCTGTTGATCGTAAGGTTCTATGGCAGTGTTTGTCACTTAAAAGGAGTACCAAAAAAGTACATTAACCTTATAAAGGCTCACTACTCGAACACAGCTGGTCGAATGAGAGCTTATGGCGAACTGTCATCAGAATTGGTTACCTTAAGTGGTGTTTGTTAGGGCTGTCCACTCTCTCCATTGTTGTTCAACTTTGTCGTTGACGTGCTTTTAGAGATGACACTTTCCTCATCTAAATTTCCAGGAGTTTGACTTTTGCCGGGAGATTCACTTTTTGACTTAGAATATGCTGATAACAGTTCTATTTGGTGAAGATGCTGACAAAATGCAGTTTTCTGACCACTATAAGCAACAATGCAAGCATGTTCGGGATGCGATTCTCCCCTCCAAATGCAAAATGTTGCTTCAGGATTGGGTTGCATTGACACCCGAACTAGTGATAGGGAGTGAAGTAGTTGAGTGTGTCGACCGCTTCACTTATCTTGGAAGTCTCATCAGCCCTTGTAGTCTGGTGTGTGACGAAATCTCAGCACGGATACAGAAGGCTCGACTAGCTTTTACCAACTTGCGTCATTTATGGCGTAGGCGAGATATCCGTCTATCAACCAAAGGACGTGTTTACTGCGCAGCAGTACGTCCCGTCCTACTTTATGGCAGTGAAACATGGCCGGTAAGAGTAGAGGATATTCGTAGGTTACTAGTATTCGATCATAGGTGTCTTCGAAACATTGCTCGTATATCATGGGACCATCGAGTAAGCAACACATTTGTTAGGAATCGGGTACTAGGTAAGGATGGCAAATCAATTGATGAAGTAGTGAAACTTCATCAGTTGAGATGGCTGGGACACGTGTTACGTATGCCCAACGACCGACTGCCTCGACGTGCGATGTTCAGTGGTATAGGAGTAGGTTGGAAGAAAGCTAGGGGCGGCCAGACCAAAACATGGCACAAATCCATGAAATCACTGACAAGTGGTCTGAGTCATGTTGGTAGGTGTAGACTACCTGGTTGGGGACCGCGAGATGATAGCAACCGATGGTTAGAGACTCTGAATGACATGGCTCAAAATCGTTTGCAATGGCGCAGGTGCATCCACTCTTTGTGTTCTCCCAAATTTTGATCTCCTGATTCCCCCTTGTCTCTTTTTTTTCTCTTCCCAAGTTTATTTCACTGTATTATACTCTTTAAGTAACATCTCCAAACACTAATCTTCCCGATTACTGCTTATACTCTTGCTACCTCTACCACTACGGGATTTGAATCAACCACTGCATCTGTGTGCTAATGTGGTATGGCAACTCGAACTGATGTACGTACGTACTAAGTTCTACGTTGTTACTGACTGAGTATGAACGACAAATTTTTGGACAAGCTTTTTTCCTTTGACTGATCTTCATGTTTCTGGTATGCAATTTCAGTGGAATGAAGTTCTATCGGAACTGTGAAGTAACACGTACAACGGAGTTACAAATTCCAGTTATGTAGTTTAGATGTTGTAAAAGTTTAATAGATCGTGGTTTGTGAAACTTCTTGCTGTGATATTGGAGATTATTAGTGCTGGAGGGAGAAAAATGATAAGACATATTAACGCCCAAATCGTTACTAAAGATACGAAATTTCTAATATAAGTTCACCTCGCATCTTACGATACGACAAGGTGAAAAAGTTCGAGCGTTTTAAGCGCCCATCGTAAGGGAGTTTAGAAGGACCATTCACTAAATCCGATTCCACGCACTCAAGTGAGCTAGGCTAGCTGCTTTAATGCAGTACTCTAAGTCGTGACTTATTATTACTCGCAAGCCTTACTGTTACAAGTTTGCGTTCGGAGACTATTCCACAGCTAGCATTGAGAATAGATTAGTTTAGTAGACAGTTGCATCAGAAGAGTTAAGGATTTGAAAAGCTATCAAGATATAAACAGTGTCGACACCACATTTGTAAAATATTATTCCTAGTGAAGTTACCATTTTGAAGTTATGATAAAAGATACGCTGCGAAAACTTAGGGTTGACTCCATGAGATTCTGATTACGTAGGCGTTTTCTCGGGCAACATAAGTGCAGCTCCTTGTGTTAAGAGGTATTTTTTCCTATGACCAGCAAACAACATCAGCTATCGTGAAGTCCTAATATCGAGACTGGATCCAATGGGTTTCATTTATTACAAGCACGTATCATGGTAACAGTTGGTAGTGATTGTTTGGAATGAAAGTAACTTGGACGATAATAATGACAAGATGAAAAATATTGTGGCGCGATTAACTGTACTGATTCGAATATGCGACATCAAAACGCTCCACTATAAAACAAAATTATCATAAACCGATTGAGAGTACGTCATGTTTAGTTATATAAACAAGTTTTGCCATTTCATGCACTTCAAGCGATGATGCAGATCTAAGTCGATAAAACGAAGCTGCTTAGAAGACAGAACTAAGTGACGTGAAAATTTAGAGGTTATCAACAGAATAATGGTGAAATAAACATTTGCAACATATTAACAAGTTGATTCTGAAACGGTTTAATGAACACTAGAATGCATACACGATTGAAGGGAATTGGGTTGCATTTGAATACAAACTATATGTTTGCGTAAATCACCTGAATTATTTTAACTTACATGATCGTACATAGACGAATGCCTAAAAATAGTACATTGAAATTTATTGTTAAAGTATGAATATGGTATTAGTTAAGTTGCCGAAAGCTTTCAGGGGACGGATGAATGTTCAATCAAAAATAATAAATCTCACCAGAACGACTTATTGCAATTTTCTAGCGAGAAGTCCGGTATATTTAAAATATTTTAATTACCGAAACGGAAATATTCTTATCATAATTAATTTAGGTTATACGTTATTCGCCATACCGTTCGTCAAGTACGTCAGATAGAAGAAATCTGGTGTACGAAAGATTCAAAATAACAACATAGTTTAAAACTCTGAAGTAAGGCTACATCTACGAGTTATGGATGTTTTTTTAAAAAGCTCAAATTAAATGAAACTAATATGAATTGAATGAGATCTTTAGGAGGTATCATAAACTTGATAAGTTTATTTGTTGGTCACTGAAAATACAAATAAAGGGTACACAAATCGCAGTAAAAAAGGAGTATCATTACAAATAAGACCAATTTTTAAAAACAAGCTCAGAGAATAGTATACAAGAAAATTATATAAAAGGATTTCTCATTCTGTAAGATAAGAAATAATGACTATAATAAAATAAACCAACTATATACAATCTATGATTTGACAAATGAATTCACTACCCATTACACATAGTTGGCGCATTATAGTATATATAGCTCAAAAACAAATTTACAGGAAAAAAGAAAATTTCTCGACACTGTTGAACAGAATTTACACAGATGAAATGAAACTGTTATTACTACCAAAAAAATATGTTACAAAATCGAAAGATAACTGTTAATTAAGCCCAACATTACCTATAGTATGAGGTGCTGTAGCCCTTACAAATATGATGCTAATAAGTGAACAATGAAAGTATCTTCGGAAGCAAGACAAACTGTATACCATTACATTTTAGAACATTTAATACAAATCATTTTCCTGGATCATAAAAAATTATTTCATTCACATCTTTTAAAAATTCATTAACATAATACATACTCAGTATAAATAATAAATAAAATTTCAAACGAATAATAATGTGGTGTTAGACTACATATGTTCATAAACTGAGGTAGAGATGAAATAGGATATCTGAAACCGGGAAATTACAAATAGACCAGTAAACACGTTAACAGAGGAACAGTTTCGATTTATGTGTTTCCTTTGTATTTGTGATAGGTACACCACGAAAATTACTGAAGTACGTTGTTCTATCTCCAAAAATTGAAAAGTGCGTCAACTGAAGACAGTTTTTTTTCAGGGCTGCGTCGAAGCAAACAACTTCAGAGACACATGTGACAGGCTGATATTCAGTAGATTTGTTCATTTTGATTTGGCTCCAATGTTTATCAGTGGGAGATGGCAATAGATCAAGGAACAGTAGATCTTTGATTATCTGAAGCATTTAAACTTAAAATCGATGGGCATGACGTAGAAAAATTTGAGAAGGTATGTGGTGAAACAGAATGACTGACAGAAGTTTGAATACTACCTGAACGGTGGGGAAAATTGATGATTTGGTTATCATGAACTGTTAACCGGATAATAGTTACTTTTACTTCTGCAAGCAAAAATGAGGAACACAGAACAGAGAATAATGGAAGTATGTTCAGTAAAAGAATGAGTTGGAGTGGATTTGACATTATTTTTCTAAAGTTACTTTGAGAACAAATACCGACCTTATATTCGTTAGGAAAAGTGACGTGTTTTGAGTGAGAAATTATCAAATGAAAAAAATGAGTGGTTGTTTTAAAAAATGCATGTTGATTTGATTACAGATTCGAATATACAAACACAGCAGATACTAGGAGCAATTTCTATATGCATCGTACTGTCAGTAATCCGCTGATAGCGCAGTGACATGTTTAGATCGAGAAATAAATGTTGGTCAGGAAAATCATTCATTCTTATGGCTCATCCAGTTAGATAAAAACGTTATATTGAAACTAACACAAAAAGCACAGTAGGTCTTTCGATAGATATTTGTATAAGACCAAACAAGCCAGATAGAAGTATACAGATTCCAATTACTCAAATGACTTTACAGATCAACAGTTGGACAATGGATTCTGTTTTATAATCTATTACATGCTCAAAAGATAATAATACTACGCAATTGTGAAAATTAAGAGTTGAAAGATGGTCTAAGCTCTCACTCCCTGGATAACAAACAAATGACCTACTAAAATATTTTGAAAAACGAAAAGGCAGTTCATCAATCTTAAACTATTTTTCCCATTTGAAATAGCAGATCCAAGGTAAGGCATTTTCTAACTGAAAACTTTCGGAATATTAAATAATGGATTCCTTGGAAATATCACCTAGAATAAATCGAGCGCATTTTCGGAGTAGCTGTTTGTATTCCCTTATCATATATTGAGTACTGAAGTAGGGAAATATTGTTGTTTCCTAAGCAAATTCCTTAAATATACAGGAAATTAACTGTATATATATATATATATATATATATATATATATATATATATATATATATATATATATATATATATATATATATATATATCGTCTAAAGAACGAGGACAGCAATTGCTAGTGTTTAAAAGATGAACTTCAACAGCGATAAAACGTAGAGCTGAAAAACTGTCCACTCCTAAATAAACAATTTCTGAGCTACTTTGACGGTTATGATACAGATTTATTCAATCTCTGAATACAATGAAAACCGCAAGTTTCCCAAGTACCTTGGGAATATTATTCGCTACTTTTATGATTAACTAATGGAACAATTTGTACAGTAAATTGCATAAAGGAAAACAATGATCGAAAACACCTAAAAAGTTGATAGACAGTAAAAATCACCGAACTGACCGTAAAAAACGGTTGATATCATGTGCTCTACAGTTAAGTATATATATATATATATATATATATATATATATATATATATATATATATATATATATATATATGAAACAATAAACCTACTGGTTTTTACATCAAGGGTACCCATGGAAACCATATTATACTCAATGAAAACACAATACCAATTTTATTATTGCCTGTGGAGATTTGTAAGTAACCTCAAATTTATCTAACAGGATATATTCAAACAGTAATTTGAAATGACGAGTTCTTGAAAGATTATTCACTAGTGGTAAAGCAGAATGGAATACGCACAGGTGAGCAGTTAGTGATATATATATAATATTTTTGTTAACGATAAGGTCAGAAAAATTACAAAAAACCGAAAGATTCAACAACCTAATTTCCTTCAGGAACTGAATTTAAATCAAAATTATTGAATGAATATGAAAGTTTTTGCAATGAACTGTGGCACAGATATTAAAAAAATGTGAAGAGAAGCTAAAGGTTTCCTTTATTTTCTATCACTAATATCTTCATTCGGTTTATTTATCTAGTTGAACATAAAAATTAGTACAAGAAAGACGGAATACATAAGTCAAATGACCCACATTGGTTGTGATACTGTCCAGGAGAGTACCATGTTAGGAGGGATAATGGAAATGAAAGAGGAAGACTGACTACGAATACAGTGAACTTGGATGCTGTTAGAGGTATGAAGACGGTTATCACTCCGCGGTTGCCCACACCGTGGATGGGTTTTTGTAGAGGTACCTGAATAGGAAACTAGGATAGAGGTGGTCTTAGGGACTTGAGAGGGTGACATTGGGGTCCAAGGGACAACTTCTTGAGGTCGGTCACGTACGACATTTTGTGAGTTTTCGTGTTATTTTTTTATTTAAACACATAAATATTGGTACAAAAGAGGGACCGAATACATATGCGCCACACAAGTCATTTGATTTGTATATGGGCTGTGATACTGCCCGGGCGCCCAGATCGAGGTAGGTGGTTTTCTTAGGATGCCACATCCCGAACCTTCGAGCTAAGGGTCTCATTCACAAGGCAGTGGAACAACATCAGTAGAGGCAGTACCATGGTAGCCGGTGACCAATAATCAGTTCACACACCATTTGTTCCCTCAGAATCCTGGAACCCACGTCCACCTTTGGTTTGAAAGCACGGTTTCCCAACTCCCCTAGGTAGAACCTCCATGTCCACCAACCCGGTTAAAGTGCCGGACATTCGCTTCTCGTCATCTCAATTTCGTAAACAACACCCCTGCAGCGAGAAGGAAGTGAGTACGACATCCTTGGCAGTGGTTGCACACGTGTGGCCATGTGACAGCATTTCCCGGGGGAGAGCGGACTCTCCCCACCCTAGGATGTACTAGGGCATTTGAGGAACTTCATTCATTTAATCAATACACCATTTATCATATTTTATATTATATACATCCCACTATCTAAAGCGCAGCACGTTTTTCAACGCAATAATTATTTATAAATGACAATCCAAAAGTACTGTCTCGTGAAGTTTTTCATGATTTTCAACAATAAATGTGCAGACACTAAAACAGTTGAAAATGTAAAATGACTACAGGATTAGATCAGAACATATTGATTTCTACTACCTTCAATACTTCTATGAATCCCAAATTCTGAATAAAAAGTGGTGGGTAAATAATATGATAGAACAGTAACCAAAAAGTATTGCATGCAGAATAATTAAACAAATATACTTACCAAGATAGAAAAGCTAAATTGTTATCTTGTTGAACATTTTGAAAATCCTCACATTCATACACGATTTCTCCTTGGGAAGTTCTAGTTTTTGATTCATCCTGGGGATAGCTAATAGGTGTAACGAAAGATTGATTTAGCGAATCTTGAACATGACGATAATCGGTTGGATTTTTTGACAAAACTAATTCCATGTGCTCGTCCCCTACACTAGTTTGTTTGCTAAATATTTTTCTGATTGGACTTGGTTTAGCATGTCTTGTTTTAGAGTAATTTTTTAACCTCCTTTCCTCAAATGAGATAGTTGATTTAGGAGTAAAAGAATCAAACTTCTGCCAATTAGGGAATCTCAGAACTTCACTGGTAAGATGTGGTTGATCTTCAGTGGTGGAACGATCGCCAGAACTGTGTTCTGAACTACGAAACGTATGACCGCATGAAGAAGAACTAGTACCTCGGCGAATACCATGGTAACGACAGGCCGTCGTCGAACCCTCAGCAGTCTTATGACGACGTCGACCTAAGTTTTGCAAAGGAGCTTCTGATAAAAATGATAGAAATGCAGATGTACTAAGATTCTCTGAAAACGAATCCGCTGAATAATGACCTAATGGAGACTTTCCGGAACCACCCAAGCTACCTGTCGCACTGAGAACACCTCGGATACTAGAACTTATTGGATAACCATGAATGCCATCAGAGGTAGTATTACAAGTAACTGGGTTGCTTGGAGATGGATCACCAGAAGCAAGAGTATTTTTCGACATGATACATGCACCAGCACCAGGTTGAAACTAAACAAAATAGGAAAGAGAATAAAGAAGTAAGCTCCATAATATCTCCCTAGACAATAAGAGGAAAACAGAGAAAACACTTCCCATCATACAAGGTATCATAAGAATCAGTCACATTCGAAAAAACATATTACAAAATAAAGGACAGGTATGAAAGTACTTCAGTGAACAAACTACAAAAACAAAAAAATCAGTGTTTCATCCAGGCTGCAGTATGGAGGTAAAAACTCAACAAGACTGGGGTAGAAATGAGAATCACTTGGATATCTTATACTATAAATGATATATATATATATATATATATATATATATATATATATATATATATATATATATATATATATATATATATATATATATATATATATATATAATTCAGAGGATACTTATATTCATGCCTTCCTGACTAATTATTAAAACATCTTGTTACATTCGATTGATCTGAGTGTTTATGGCAAAGTCCTAGAATATAAGGACAAAACTGAATTTTAACAAGTCTTTACGTACTTACATTAACTTAAGAAAATTTATGTGTAATTGACAACACTAAAAGTACATTAAACTTGTTTCACGAATAACTACTAAGAAAAATTTGAAAATTCATGTAGCTATACAATTAGAACGCTTTTGAACCATTTTCGTTTAAAAAGGATCATAACTAAGCTACTCAAAAAGATCAAGATTATATTAGCGCTGGTATTTGAACATAATCATCGTCAGACTGCTCGTAGGGAAGATCTAGTCAATGATCAAGATACAAAACGAAAACTGAGCATGAAAATAATGACTTTTTATTGTGAATCCTGAAAACAACATCCGGAAGTAACTTACACGAAGGGCGTCAATAGTACTATTTGGTTTCGGTGGTTCATTTGTAAGAAACGGGCGGACACAATCGGGATTTTTTCGCAAAATAGCTATAATATGATCAAGTGAAGCCGGACGATGTTGCCATTGGTGTTGACAACATTGATATATTAATCGAGAGCTGAAAAAATAGCAAGACAACCAAAAACAGGTGTAACATATAGTATATAAGTAGATAAATAGCACAGATTACGAGACAAAAAATCATACCTAATTACATAATAAGGAACTTACATAGTAGTGTTTCTTGCTGCTAAAGGCAAAAATTCGATTATGCTAAAATCTTTACGTTTTACACGCTCCACAACTTCAACATCACCTAAACCATCATACGGAAACACTCCAAAAGTTATAATTTCATATAAAACAATTCCATATGACCAAATATCGGAGTGAACACTAAATACACCAAACTGGACGGCTTCAGGAGACATCCAACGGATAGGGAGTTCACCTATAAAAATTGATAACCAAAAGTTGAGTGCAATAGAAACAAATGTAACACTAACACTGCAGTATGAGCGTAGGAAAGGTGCTACCAGAATACTACACTATCTTCTAGCTTAGAACATCAGCGTCAGGATATTAGTTTCACATTGTACTTACATCAATTAAAAAAGTAATACCACCTATTTGACTAGAGATATGAGAAATATGTTTCACACACTGATATATGCATATAACAGTTTTATTTAGAAATGTTGATAAAATAACGTAAATTATTTGCGAGATACATGTATGTACACTTTTATTTAGACCAAATTAAAGTGTGTGTTCCCCTACGCGACTGCCTAAGATAAACTACGCCGGGTGAGGTTCCGACGAGCACACCAGTATTTGAGAAATGTTTCATTTAAGAGTAAAACAACAGCTCTTTAAAAAAACAGGTCTCAAAGTAAAATGTTTCTGAACGCATTATATGATGGTCGTTTGCAAAGAAATAATAAACCCGAACCGATTGTAAAGAGCTAAAGCTTTTAGAAATACAAACACAGTATTAATCGAGCATGTGCAGTAAAAATATTTTATTTGGTTTGACAGCAAAAAACACTTATGACACATAAATTGTATTTGAATATTTTTAGGAGAATGAACAATAATATATAAACAAACGAAGAGTTCTTCCAATACTTACAGTTACGAGTAAAACGATAATAACCTTCGTTCTCACTACTATTCATTTCACGAGTAAGACCAAAATCTCCAATTTTTACAACCCCATCAGAACCAACAAGACAGTTACGACAGGCAATGTCACGATGGATCAAATTTTTCCTGTGTAAGTAAGCCAAACCTTCAGCAATATCGATCGCCATACCAGTCAGTGTAGCTGGACAAACACCGTCATGATCAGGCACTCTAAAATAAGGTGGATGATAAATGGTAACAACTAGCTTATTAGAAGACAAGCGGTAGAATCCATTTAAGATATTCAACATAAATATAAACTCACACTGTCAGTAAACATGCTAGTTAATAATTAGTCTAGCTAATCATAAATTTGCAACATATCATGTACCATTCCGTACTACTGTTCTATATGAATGTGCTTGTTGTTCTCTTTATAATCGACTACAATTTTGCCCTTTTGTACTAATTGTAGTTAGTTACATTTTGGAAAAAAATTATAATTGTTGGCTACATACATAGTTACCTATTTTCACTATAGCCCTGATAAGACTCTTTATGCCACAGTAGAGAGAATTATTCAAGAAATTTATCTGTAAGAACCTAATTCAGAAAATGAGGAAGGCCTAACAATGACGGTAGAAAAGGCTGAAACAGAAGGAAACATGAGACATATATAGATGTTACCGCACCAACAGTCAAAGAAACCAACATGATCATCAGAAAGATCAAGAGTGAGAAGGCAGCAAGACCAGACAACGTACAAGCTGAAGAACCAAAGTCAGAAATACGAGTGACTGCAAAGATGCTCGACAACCTTCGCTTTAGAAATGTTTGAGACGAAGAACAAGAACAAACAGACTGGAAAGAAAAACAATTCAAGATACTAAAGAAAAGAGAATATCAACTTGTGGCCTGAATGCCCTGCCAATTTATAACGCAATGATACCACCAATTAGAGGACAGTGAATTAACGTCCGCATAAGTGACGCCTAAAATCCGTGTGAGTAGTCTAGGGTACTTATCAGTCTTGCTTCCTGCCTAGCCCAGTCAGAACGCCAATCTCAGTCTCTGCAATATAAATCATATATTCCAAACATACAGGGATTATATACCAATCAAACAGAACACATCTGTTAGCCGGAAATAGACTGAATTAAAGCATGTTTGTACTTTTTAGTGAGATTTGCAAAAATCTTTGTTATATGTTCTTAAACCTGTAGTACTTGTGTTGTAACAACAATAATTCATGTATATAATAACTTCACTTGTTTATCACATTTTTAAATTCACCACAGAAAGCTACAAATCGCCAGGTACATTCTGAAAAACGTCTGCCGAAGAGTTCTCCAGATATGGCAACAAAATGCACAGAAGAAAATATATCTTCTCTACTTTCACATATTTTAACAGACGGTAGCGGCCAGCCAACAAACGGAAAGCAATCCGTTAATTACCATATATCCGCTGAAATCCCAGAGCAAACATTCATTCAAAAACCAACGAATCCAATCAATGTTGCATCTAAAGAAACCGATGAAGGGATTCAACAAAGCAAGTTTATCACAGAGTACTGTGACTCGTCTATGTTATTCTATATTTTTAAAGGGCGAAATTGTTGCAGTAAAAGCGTTACTGAGATATAAGGATGAAAATTCAACGGTTAAGTAGGGTTTTTTTAAAGACAAATCCATTTATTTTTAATATGCATGATGTACATGTTAACTGTGACAATGAATTCCTATAGACGTAGATAAAATTTGATGACGCTGTAAGTGAAAATAATTCTTTGAAATATTGTGCTGTACGTGACGCAAGACAAGCAAATTCGTCATGGTCCTTAATATTCAATGGGATTTTATCTCAACTCAAATGAATATATATATATGACACTGCATTGAAACATTTGTTCTAAATCCTGTTATCTTCAATTTAACTTTGTTATTGTAATTGTAAACACATCTCAGTCCTACAGAAGGTCGGTCGCGGCCCGGATATCTCAGTGGTAACGTCTCTGATTGTGAGGCCGGGTGACACGGGTTCGAATCCGTCGGGGGTGATCAGTTGTCTCAAGATTACAGGTACACCATGCTGACGAGTGCCAAGTAGCACAAAACGTAGGTCCAGAGTTTCTTGTTCACTACCTCCAACCACCATCTTGTCTCAAAATAGTGCACTCAATGTCTAGTCACCTAGACGAATGGCCACATTGCAACTTGGTCGATTGGATTCGATCGGCATTAAGAAGGACCTGACATACATGACATTGATCACCACTCAGTGACTGTATTTTCTTACAGTTTTTGTAATTACCAAAACTACCACTTCCCTTTACAATGATATCTAGGTGTATTGTGAACTTTTTCCGAAATGTGTGGGGATTCTACTTATTATTCATTCCAACAGATAATAGGACATTGTGAAATGTGTCTATATATGGTAATTGGTTTGATGAATATGTTGAAATTTCATAATACTATTACTCATGATCACATGGTTAGTTGAAATTGGATTCTATTTTTATGTTGATTCCAATCGATGTTTGTACTTTTTAATGAGATTTTTGAAATTGTACTTAAAGTAGTAATAACCATGCATGTATACATATATAACTCAATGTGCGCTAAGTGTTTCTTTATATGTTAGTTCAGCTTGTCTTCTTAATTTTCCTAGACTGATATTTTCTCTGAAAAGTGTTTTCCGTGATAAGATAGCACTTGTGTCTTTTCGTTTCAGTTTCAATCCAATATACAAGATGACCTTATTGTTTCAAATGACTCAAACTTAACTTAGCATAGTCTAATCCATCTTATGAATAATATGGGATATAACTTATCTTCATAAATGTTCTACCCATGTCCGGGCACACTTGTAATTAGAAACCCATAAAATACCATTTTTCTAAACTATTGTAAAACTGACACCACATCTTTCTGATTTGTATTATTTTGAATTTAACATTTAAACTCGTGCCCTATCTGTTTTCTTATGAGTTTGTTTTAATCATAAAAATTCATTGTCCGGGCACATATTTCTAATATTTTTTTAGATCCTACAATAAATGCAGAGCATGGTATTGAATCGAATAAAATTCCAGTATCAATAAATTTCAAAAGCTTTGTACGAATCACAAGTGATTATGATGTTCAGCATGAGGTTTTGTAAGAGATTAGACTTCATAAACTAAGTAATTGCTTTAATCTAAAGTGAAATATGCGCAAAAAATACTGTAGTCAAATGCCTAAATCTGAATGAACTGAGTAACTATTTAAGCATTCTGGAAAGGCTGTTCATTTCACTAAATATCTCACGAGATTTCGGAATTAATGAGTGCCTTTAATAAATTTCATCTTCAAATTAATGTTGACGCTAAATGCAACATGTTTAGACTTCCATCTTATTTCAGAGATAAGTACTATCGAGTTGTTACTTTGCATAGCTTATACTCACGTTGAGTTAAATGAATGACTGTATTAAGATGTTCTATTTTCAAGGATATTAATGTACACGTACCTATATTATAGACTCATCTTACCGACATAAGCTATGCTCTCAACAGAAATTTAGATCTTTTACTATAGAGTAACCGATTTAAAAGTAGTATCCATTCAAAAGAGTGTACATTAATAAGGGCGACTAACAGAAAAGCGTATATTGATAAAGGTGATTATTGAAATGTCCTTTCTGCTCTCCAGAGAAACTTAATGAACTGTTCTGTTTAATACTAATTAGCTGAAGAGGTCAATCGGTTGTTGATGGTTTTAATTTCTAGTCATTTTTTATTACTACCATCATGTTTTTAAGTGGTCAATTATCTTCTACATATTTGGTTTTTTCTAATTTTTTCTTCTTGATCGTTACGCAATATTATTTTGATCCTTGGAATTGACGAACTAAGAGAGATAATAGCCATTAAAACGTAAGCGACATAGACATTCAAGATTCGGACATCAACTTCCCAGCATGTTAATAACTCATCAGTCTAAGAGGGCGATTTATTAAGACAATAAAATAATCCCGACAATAAGTTAACTAACTGAATATAATACATCGAATGATAGCATTAAAAGGGAGTAACATCAGTTTAGTGTAGTTGTAAATGTTACGTACATTATAAAATTTTCGTAACACAGTTTACCATTTTAGATGTGCAGATTCACATTATGTGCCATTCCACTCAGATAGTCTAGTGTCGATCTGTTTACGTAATATTCTACGAACAGTTTGATACATACTGCTACCTCTCCATACTTTCTCTTTACTTCCTGTTCCTGAATTCCTGCAACAGACTGTTTGATTTTCAATCCATTTAGACTCTATTCCCTTTTTACAGCATTAATCAATTTCTATATACTTGGATGAGCGGTACTAATAACTTGGCTAAAGCCTCTATACCACCATTCCACCACATTACTCGTTTTCGGAAAGCCCTCCACAGCAGAGTTAAACTAGTAAATATTTTACATCATGAATAATCTTATTCCCTTTCAATCCTCAACTTCATTAACATGAACCTTTTTGATGGTCGCCCTTTTACTCACGCCCTTAATGGTGTGAACCTTTGAAAATATGGAAAACTTTTTATAGAATCACGGAATAAATTTAACAAGTATTAGAACCAACAATTTAATTACAAATAGTTAAATCAGTTTCAGCGTTATTTTAGACGTCAACTTCGGTTTTCGATTGCTACTCGTAAGTCGTACACTAAAATTTTTTATGCTAATGCCTCGAGGTTTAAGCAATTTTTACACTTGTAGTACTACATTTATTTCATAACACTAATTAGGATTATTTCAGTTTTCTAGAAGTTTACCAATGTGTTTTATGGAAGTAACAAAATTTAACTAGACTAATTTAACAATAGCGTTACGAATATCCATAAGATTTTGTTTCTACATACTATTGACAGGAATTCCCAATCGTTGCCAGTTAGTAGTATATAACTTTAGCACACATCCTGCCAGTTATTATGTTTTACTACAATAGCTTGTCAGGTGTTTGAAAAAAAACTCCTAGATCTAAACGAATAGGTTTATATGAATAGAGCGATAAGAACGGACGTGACAGAATCAGTCAGTCAGTCAGCTACAACGTAGGACCAGGCACATATATGTATCGGTCCAAGTTGCCACACCTCATTAGCACAACAAGATGAACACCGAATTCATAGAAGGGGTTAATTCAATGGTGGCAATACTTAAAGAACTGCATGTAAAGATATAGTACAG